GTCTGCATATGTCAATAATGCACAGTGAAAAAACCAAGTTATGAGACGATAGGAAGGGCAATGAGGAAACGGCAGGAGCAGGTCACTGAATAAGAGGTAGTGCAGCATACAGAATGTGCAGATAGATACATGAAACCAGAAAATCAGTTGGGGCCAGAGGATTGACTATGCTGTTAATTACTATCAGTTTGTGGGGTTTTTGAAATTAGGGGTTTTGTCTATTAGAGATTTGATCTAGGGTCTTGCCCATGTTTTCAATGACAGCACCATAGAGTTCTTATTGGTTTCAACTTCACTGTTTGTTTGGTTTACAAATCCCCACTTTGGGAATCCAGCTTTTTTCTCCATTTGCACCCCATGGAATCTGAAATTCTAAACCTTAAAACAAAACAAAACAAAACATTGCCTGGATTTTCACTGGGAGCTCTAGGTCACCTAGTAAAATCTTGGCTGAGCAATATGTTTAGTTGGTAGTGAAAAGACCTTGGACTTTGTACTCTTGCCTACCTTGATGCTTTCCCCCTCACTATCTGTTACCATGTTTTAATAATCAGGTCAAATGTGAGAATATATTTTTCAGATAGAAATGAACTACTACACAAATCCCATAAGTGTAGCCAGGGAGTCTTATTTCCTCTTCCTTTCTTGAAATGCTGGGCCCCAGGCTAGGAGACTTCAGCTCTTGGGATGAGAAGTCAGTGGGAAGAACAGATAACACCATGCACAGCACTTATCCCAAACTTTCCACAGTAATGAAGCTGTGGCCAGGCACCTGGCTGCCCAGATGGACCATATTTTCTAGTCTTCTTTAGAATTTTCACAATTGCAGCATGGCTAACTTCTTGACCATGCCATGTGAGCAGAAGTGATGGATGTCACCCCCAGATCTGGGGCTTCAGACCTTCACTTCTCTTCCCCTCATATGCCAGCTGGAACTCATATGTGATGGCAGCCCTGTTTCAACCTTACAGATGACAATTCCAGTGTCCTAGGAAATGGCAGAATAACAACTGGGAAGGAATCATGATTGCTAAATGACCTCAAGGAAAAAGCTTCCAGCCAATCTGGACTGTTTACATGGAGACTATTACCTAAGAGAAAAACACTGCTTTATTCTCTGAGACACTTCAGTGTTAAGTCTTTTCCTTATAATGGCTATACCATCACCTACATATGGCTGCCATCAGAAATCCACCTCTTCTTTCATCCTGAACCTATGAGGATCTGGGGAAAATGTCTGCCTAGGTGCATGTGTGTGTAAGTTTAAAAAAAAAAACTAAATTAAAGAAAGCCAATGAGGAATGGTGGTATAGTAAAAATATATAGTATTTGTTCCTGGTACTGGCCTCCAAAAGCCTTGGGATGGCTTGGATGACAGGAATATCTCCTGTTATTCATAAAGTACCTTCTAACCACACTGTGCCTATGCTAATAAAGTGACTGGAGGATAGGATTAGATAGCCTAAGAATGAGGCTGGCCAGAAGGACCAAAGAGGATTAGAGTGGGAACTTTCAGGTCTACTCCTGACCTCCAATGGAGGGAAGGAGGTAGAGATTAGATTCTGTAACTCTAACCAAGAGGTTTAGAGAGCTTGAAAACTGGTGATTATATTGAACTTCTGGGACAGTGGCATGCCTAAAGAGGATATAGAAACTCTGCACACCTACCCCTATTCCTATTTTTTTGGTACTGAACTTAGGAACTCTTTACCACTGAGTTATATCCCTAGCCCTTACTTTAATTTTTTTGTTTTTTGAGATAGATCTTGCTGAGTTGTTGAGGTTGGCCTCCAACTTGAGATCCTCCTGCTTCTGACTGCCTGACTGCTGAGTTGCTGAGATTTACTGGTATGCATCACCATGCCCAGTACTACCCATACTCCTTGCCCTTTACATTTCTTCCACTTGGCTGTTCCTGAGTTGTGCCCTTTGTAATAAACCAGTAAATACAAATAAAGTTTATCTTGACTTCTGTGAGTCACTCCAATGAATCATCCCACCTGTGGAGGGCATTGTTGGAACCTCTGATTTGTAATCAGTTAATCATTGGTGCAGGTGATTGCTGGGACTTACAAGCAGTGTCTGAGACAACAGTAGACAGGTGGGACTGAGCCTTAACCTGTGTGGTCTATGTTAACTGTGTATGGTTAATGTCTGAGTTGAATCAGACTCTTAGACAACCAAATGGTGTCAGAGAACTAGAGAACTGATGCAACAATCCCTGACATGTGTTATCAGAAGTGGTAGCAGAAAAAACAAGACACCACAGGAGCTTCCCTACATATAGTGTGGAGTATTATGGGGCTGACCCCAACACTTTGTGTAGACACCTTGGCTTTGCCTCTGCACCTGCAGAACCCTCTAGGATCACTAAAGGCAGCACCAACCTCAGGGAGCACTATACTGTCCATGGGCCAAGAAACTCTAGGCAGCTACAATGCCAATCTAAGAAGTTGTTAAGTTTGGATTTTTTCAACCTCAAAAGCATGATCAAGAACAATAAATGCAAGTGACTGCACCCTCTACACAGAGGTAGCAGATTATCCTAGAGAATTTGCCGACAGAGCCAGGTGTGATAGTAAATGCCTGTAATCCTAGTTATTCCAGAGGACGAGACAGGAGGATTGTAAATTCAAGGTCAACTTCAGCAACTTCATGAGAACATGTCTCAAAATAAAATTTTAAAAGACTGGGGGTAAAGCACAGTAGTAGAGCACCCCCAGGTTCAATCCCCAGCACTCCCTCCCCCTAAGAAAGAATTTGCTGACAGGTGTTCCCAAATGAGTACTGTGATCTTAACCCATCACTCCTATGCAGACTGTAAAAGAACTTTACTGCAAGTTACAGGAGGCAGAACTGCAGAATTCTGATACTCTATGTTTCTGAACCTGAACCAAGCCCACGCTGGTGATGGCAGAGGTATGTTAAGTTGAATAAGAAACTGAAATTTTGATTTAGATGGGATGAAACATTTTAATAGCTAAAATGAGATTATTTGTTAGGGTTTTATAATTGATCAGAAGAGCCACGGGTTCTGCCCAAGTTATTATCCAGAGAAAAAGAGAGGTACACGACATAGCATGTTACAAAGCAGTAGAGGGGGACTGGAGGTATAGCTCAGTGGTAGAGAACTTGCTTAGCATGCCGATGCCCTGGGTTTAATCCCAGCCCTACAAAACAAACAAACAAATAAAGCAACAGAGAAAGAAAGAATCAAGTAGGTTCATCTGTTGGTGCCTACCAAGTGCAGCTCATTGAATACTGGGCATAGACCAGATTTAGGTGATGATGTATGTCTGCCTGGCTGTCATGCTTAGCCAAGAATCACATGGATGGGTTATTACAGCACACCCATTTGCAACAAAAATGACATGGCAGCAATAACAATGAAAAAAAAAACTGATGCTATTTGTCCCTCTCCTCAGAAAGGCCATAGCAAATAGACTAAACCCTTAAACTGACTGAACATCATTAAGGTGAAGGGGAAACCAGAGGAAGAGAGAAAGATGTTCCCAAACAATAGGTATTCTTAAACAGTGAACTGGAGTGTTCAGGTATGCTTTGTAAAGCTACTTCTGGCCTTGAACTGGCCAATTCCAGGTTTCTTTTATATGAGACTTCTTATTTCACCTAACCTTGTCTGATACAATATCTGCAACATATTAAAAGCTCCTTCAACTAAATAAGAAAAGGAAAATAAGTCTGTAGAAAAATGGGAGAAGGAGAGCAGGCAATTCACATAAGGAAGAAATACAAATGGTTACTGAGTATATGAATGTATACTAACCTTGAAAGTAACCCAAATAATGTAAATTAAAAAATGAAATGCAATTTTTTTTGTACCAGGAATTGAACTCAGCAGCACTCAACAATGAACTACATCCCCAACCCTATTTTTTTGTATTTTATTGAGAGACAGGGTCTCACTGAGTTGTTTAGCACCTTGCTTTTGCTGAGGGGCTGGCTTTAAACTCGCAATCCTGATGTCTCAGCCTCCCAAGCCACTGGGATTATATACGTGTGCCACCATGCCTGGCCTGAAATGCAATTTCTCACTTGTAAGGTTGGTAGAAATTTTAAATATGAATACTATCTGGCTGAAAAGGGTCAGGAATAATAGGTATTCTCATTCAACATTGATGAGAATCTAACCAGGGAAAGTGTTCCTGGAGGACAATTTGGAAATAGGTATGACTATTTAAAATTCATTTATGTATGAGCAAGTGCTCATGTGTGGATGTGCTTGTGTGTATATGTGTATAACTCTAGAAAAAATCCCGGAATAGTATATAACAAATTTAACAATACTTTTATTTTTTAGCAGTGGAGGGGCAGTGGATGAAAAGAGGGTATTCATGGATTTTCACTGTTTCTAGAATGAATAAAATTTGTATAGCATATATTACTTTTTTTAATTAAAAATATCTAAGGAAAAATCAGTCATATGAGCTTTATAAAGATTAAACAGATATGTAAATATTTTATTTATTTCCCTTTAAAATAGATGCAATAGGTGTTGAGCAGGCATGGTCTACTCAATTTTGAGTATATTTTGGCAAACAAACCCTATCTTACTAAAGGTAAGAAGTTCAATATTTTACAACCCAATAAAAAGAGTTTCCTCATTTGGCAAGAATGTAAGTACAAGGCGATGTTTTTATGTCTCTGGACATTACTGAATAAGGCTTATTTTTAGTAATTAAGTATAAAAAAGCAATCTTAGGAAAAGTATTTTGAAATAAATTTTATAAAGCTTTGCATTTAATAAAAATAATGAATTCTATTATTAGTGTTCATCTCTTTTTGGCAGAGAAGACAATCTTTGATTTTTAAGCATTTGCCAAGGAAATAACCCTCTGCCAACCCATACTGATGGATTTGCTTGTTCCAGACCAGAATTCATTAAAAAACAGCAATTCTTCCAAGAAATCTTTTTAAAAAAAAATCTGAAATTTTTAAGCAAAAAGTAGGTCGTTTAAAATATAAAGAGACAGTCTTACTTGGTCCTCAAAAGAAAGTGCCTGGGCAACGTCTCTTGGAAATCCATCAATAACAATGCCCTCTTCATCAGGTATTTGCATCAATTTTTGTTTTATCTCTGTGATAGTTGTTTCCTTTTATAAAGAAAAAAAACATGAAAAGAAACCACAGTTAAACTTAGTATATTCATAACTGGTACAAAATTTTTGCAGAATAGAAGCAAATTGTATAACAGTACCTGTGGGGCCAATTCTCCATTTGTAATTATCTTGGCAATAAGACTCCATTTCCTATTACTGCTGGTGCTGTGGATCTTCTTTCTTAATAATTCTCCCACTGAAATGTACTGGAATCCATATCGTTCTGCAATTTTCAAACTCTGAGTACCCTTTCCACTTCCTGGACCACCTATTATTCAAAAGAGGCAAAACTGTGACTTTAGGATATAATAAGAAACTTCTTTTTATACAACTACTACTTTAATCTGAGATGAGGGTTCTGGATCACCAGTAACAGGGTGGGTAGCTGTTTCATTTGTGACATTCTCAGTGCTACTTTTCTTTTGAATGCAGAGCAAGTGCAGACTTATCCAAGGAAAGGGTGCAGATGTCTTAACCAACTATATTAGGTGAAGGAGATGTTTTCCCCCTCTACCTATCTTAGTATATAAACAATTAGGCTGGGGATATTTAGCTCAGTGGTACAGTGCCTGCTTAGCTTGCACAAATTCCTGGGTTCAATCCCTAGCACACAAGCACAAAACAAAATCAATTTACAAATTTTTTAACTAATGCAGTTAACAGAAACTGTGATTATTATTCTATGTAAAATCTTATAGTTTTCCCCTCTGTAATCAAAGAAAAACCTATGGGTTTCAAAAGACAATGATCAAAATAATGGAAATGTGTTTCATGCCAACAAAGAGTTACCATGTAATCTGGTAAAATGTAGCAATTATTTTTAAACCAAAGGTACACCAATAAACATGACATATTTAAATCTTTTCTTGAAATCTGTTTGCACATGCATATCCTTGCCTTATTTCCTTTGAATTAAAATTTTATGCAAAGAATATGCACACTGAATGGAGAAGGTCCTCAAGGTAGAAAATATTCATAGAACTAATAATTTTGAGTTTGTAATACAATTGTATGAAATATCAACATTTTGCAACATAACTGAATATTAATCATCTTTTATTTATTTTTGAAAAGTAGTTGCTATTCACTTTTTAAAAACAAATAACAAAAGAATCACAAAATATATCTCAGATTTTATTTTCAAATATTAGGCTAATTTTTAGTTAATTTAGTTTTGTAAACAACCTAGACAAACTAGATTCTATAGTTAGAAGAAATTTTAAAATAAAATATATGGCAATCACCCCATCTGTAATTATTTGATGGCAATATCAAATGAGATATTTTCAAAGAATTGAGCATGCATTATTGAATGTAAGAAAAACAGTTAAAAAATTCAATGCCTAATAAGTAGAAAACATAGGGTCAATACTCCAACATATTGGCACAGGAAACAACTTCCTTAATAAATTCCTAAATATCAAGAAACAATACTGAGAATTAATAAATAGGATAGTATAAAATTAAGAGACTTCTGCACAGCAAAGGAAACAATTAAGAGCATGAAAAGGAGCCTACTGAATGGGAGAAAACTCTTTGCCAGCCACTTTTCTAACAGGGAATTAATATCCTGAATATATAAAGAACTCAAAAAACTTAACACCAAAAAAACCAAATAACCCAATTAATAAACAAACAAAAGATCTAAACAGACCTTTTTTAAAGAAGAAATACAAATGGCTAAAACATATATGAATGTTCAACATTCTTAGAAATCAGAGAGATGCAAATGAAAACTATACTGAGATTTGATCTCACCCCAGTCAGAATAGCAGTCATCAAGAAGACAACAATAAATGCTAGAGAGGATGTAGAGAAAAAGAAACAAAGGATTGTAAATTAGCATAACCACTATGGAAATCAGTATGGAGGTTCCTCAAAAGACTAGGAATGGAACCACTTGTGACTCAGCTATCTTACTCCTTGGTATTTATCCAAAAGACTAAAATCAGCATAATGTCGTGATACATGCATTACAATGTTTACAGCAATTCACTATAGGCAAGTTATGGGACCAGCTTACATACCCATCAATAGATGAATGGATAAAGAAAATGTGGTGTATATATATACAAAGGAGTTTTACTCAGCTATAAAGAATGAGAATTATGTCATTTGCTGGTAAATGGATGGAATTGGAGCACATCATGCTAGGTGAACTAAGCCAGACTCAGAAAGTCAAAGGTCAAATGTTTTCTCTCTTATGCAGAAGCTAAACAGAAAGTGAAAAAAAAGTAATAGTAATAATAATAATAAAGAAGGGATTGCAGGAAAATAGAAAGAAGACCAATAGAGTAAAGGAAAGAGATCAAGAGGAAGGGAAGAGGACAGGGAATAGGGAAGTACCAGGATACAAAATCTACCAAATTTTGCTGCACCCATGTATGAACATACTATAATGAATCCTGCTTATATGTATAATTCACTAATTAATAATAATAAAAATAATAATAATAATGGAAGGGAGATCAGTAGAGCAAGCAGGTAAGAGAGAGAGGACGAGAGGAAAGGGAAGTACTGGGGAAGGAGATTGTTCAAATTATGTTATTTGTATGTACAAATATGGCATAATGAATCCCAATATTATGTATAATTATAATTTGTACCAACAAAAATATATTTAAAAAATTCAATGCCTAAAAGTAGTGATATGTATTAGTAATATCCACCGAAACATAATTATAATTATTAAGCAATATTAAAAATAATAATCAAATCAAAAGAAAAGTGAATTCATATTTTTTTCTACTAATGTCAAAGTTTTTGCATATTGAAGTCATTTTATATCTATGCATTTAATAAGTATTTTTTATCCTTTCAAATAATATAAGTAAAACTTAAAGTTACTTTTCTTGTGTGAAGAGAATTTCAGAGTGGGCAGATTTGGTTGGCAGAATTATAAGATCAACTAATATGACTAGAACCATTTCTGAGCCCCAGAACCAAACAATGCACCAAATAATATCTAGCTTTCGCTTTTTTTATTGCTTTATTAAACTTAATATAGGAATTTATTAATATTTTTGACCATTCTCTAAGATACTATACATTCTATCTGTCTACACTTAATATCATAAACCACCTCTGCTTCTACCAGATTAAATTCTTTACTTTGCAATTCAAAAGTAAATTCCAAACCAGGTGTGGTGGTTCACACCTATAATCCCAATGGCTCAGGAGGCTGAAGCAGGAGGATTGCAAGTTCAAAGCCAGCCTCAGCAATTTAGTGAGGCTCTAAGCAACTTAGTGAGACCCTGTCTCAATCCCTGGTACAAGAAAAATCAAAAACAAAAACAAAAAAAGCACCAAACAGCAACAAAAAAGTAAGGTTCCAAATAGTTGCTTTTGATCTATTATCACAGGCTATTCAAGGATTGGCTTCAAGAAAAATATAATATGATCAACACCATTGACAAATCCAATCTGGTTTAATCTGAAAAAGCAAAATTCAGGATATAGGTATTTCCATGCTTGATCTCAGAAACCATCAAATTCAGAGCCTACAAATTCCTTTGAATTTTTAAAAATCAAACACATTGAGAAAGTTATGAAAACTTCAAGGAAAAAATTTTTATTTTGTTAAATAATAGAGGCAATATCAGACAACAATAACAATAACAAAATAAGACTGACAAAACTGATAGAAAATAACACTAATTTATTAGATGAGTTTGATTACTGAAACTTGCTAACAAATTAATTTTATTTTCTTTTCTCTAAAGCCAGAATGAGCTGTTTTGTTCTATTCATCTCTAGTTAATATTAACTCTGAGATTTTATGATTACATTCACATAAAAGGAATTCATATCTGTACCAAGAAGACCAGTTTAAAATAAATCTGTAGTGCCAGAAGGGAAATTTTGTTTATTTAGATGTAATACTATGTGGGCCTCTGTACCTTCTCCCACATACATTTTTCTGGATGGAATTAAAATTTGTAAGATTTAGGTACAATTATTTTATAATTCCCCAGAAAGTCTTAAAATTGCTCTAGTTTTCTTAGAAAAATTAAGAATCTTCTTTCCCTGCCTTGTCTCAATCATTTAAATATTATGTATTCACATTGGTTCTGTGTCACTCTTATAATATGCAAAATGTACAGCATGTAAATCTGTAACCAGAATCAAATCCAGAGAAGTAAGCTGATTTCACCAAACAAAAAAGAACTGTGAAAGAGGTGAAATATGAGGGTTTTACACCTTCTCCAAAAATTTAATTTATTAAAATATTTTAGTCATTTTCATATAAAATTCACAATAAACAAAAAATCATATGTGCCGTTTTATACAAGAGCAACTTGGTCTTATACCATTTTCATGGACAACCAAACTTCCATTTATTCATCTTGTTTATAATCACCAATAACTTTACTAATAGCAACAAGAAAAACAAAATTGAAGGAATATATTCAGTCCACCTTTAAACCAGGAAATGGTAAGAGAATTCCATTACACTTTACCTATAGCTCTCTCTTAGTTATTTCCTTGCCTTCTGGGTAAGAACTCCAAATTTCTAGACACAGAAAAGTATTCCATTTGCAAAAACAGAGGTTTATGGTATAATAATGGCTATAATAAGCCATACAAATATTTTGACTTTTTTGAGAGCTGATTTCTTCTGCCTCTTCTTGTTTTGTTTTGTTTTTGCTTGTTTGCTTCTTTGCAATGCTCTGGGGATAAAACCTAGAGCCTTGTACCACCACAGAGCTACTACACCCTCAGCTGATTTTTAAATCTCTTCCAGCAATACTGTTAACAATTTGGGGAGAAATATATTTGTCATTTCATTTTGCAATGTACAAATTTCACTCCTAATTAACATAAACATAAACATTGGTCAACCTAAGTTCTTGCTATATAGCTCAGTCGTTTATGCGCATGCTTGTATGCTAGTTGCCATCTTCATTATGTTCTCTGGAGCACTACTTCTCAGCCTGGGAGCTGTATACATTTAGTTTTCTGTTAATAGTTACTGGTTAGAACATTTCACACTACATATTTGCTTTTGATCATCTCCATGAAGGCCCAGTTAAATTGGAAAGTGATACAATGACTATATATGTTGCTTGTTCACAGGACTCTTCATGATTTTCATAGATTTTGAGAAAGTTAGAATTTGCAAGAGTGAGAAAAAAATGCATTTTGCAAAACTACTTAAAACATTTTCATTATCTATTCCTTGTGAAATGGCATCAGGCTGATATTTTTTGTATTCAGTGTAAGATTCACAGTGGTAATTTTAAAAATGAATGGTTATCTTTGTTATTTTGGTTAATCCTCAGATGTCTTATGCTGTATAAAACACTGTTCTTTTTATTTGCTTGTCTAATAACATGGAAATTTAAATTTTATTGTAAGTACCAGTTTGCCACAAGGAAGTTCATTTATATGAATCCTTACCAACATATTATTATTTACTTTTCCCTCTGAAGTTAAGTGAATAAAATTTCAATTTGCTGATTTAAAGGGAAAAACATCATACTTAGAAAATATCTAATGTAATCTTAGTAAAGATTAAATAAATAAAACCACAGAGCAATAAATCTTGAAGAGATGCTTTGAATTCATTATAAAGAATTCCTATGACATTGTAATAGAAATCTAAGAAAATTCAATAAGCATTAGGTTACATTATAACAACTTGTTTTATTGAAAATTATTTTAAAAATATTTCAATTTTCCCTTGAACCTTTGTTTCTATACCTCATCATTATTCAGCTAAGCATTTCAAATATGATACATAATTGGCATTTTTTAAAATGTAAAAATATAAACAAAATTAGCAATAGTAGAGAATTTTGCTTTCTGTTCTCATACCTATGACAAGAATGATTTTTGGACGAGGTCTGGTAGGATCAAAAACCTCATACTCCTCAATTAACTCTGCAGTCTCAGAGAGATCCGTGTCACTTTCTATGGAGAATTGATGGATTGGAGGGAGTCGATCATACCGCCGATATGGAAAGTTTGAATTTTCAGGCATTACTGCAAAAGAGTAAGATAACTTTGAAAAGGGAAAAAAGCAAAACAAAACACTTTTCACATTTAAACTATGAGTAGAAGGAATTTTATTAATGAGAAGACTTTCCAAGTGGCCAGCAAACATTTTCATAAAGGGCCAGACAATATTTTGCACTCTGAAAGCCAGATGATCTTGTACTCCACTCAGTCATGATAGCATGAATGCAGTCATAGACAATAGGTAAACAAATGAGTGTTCCAATAAAACTTTATTCGTTAAAACAGCATTGAACTAGACTTGGCCACCCCCTGGCCTACAGAGACCTTCTCAAACACTGCCTAGTCTTGCTTGGTAGGTTGTGTATATCCTGGCCTCTGCAAAAAGTATTCTCTGGAGTTTTGCAGTACATAACCTTCAAAACCATCTGTAGCTGCCTGTGGAGCCAGTGCTTATGCATCATATATTTCATTCATTCTACAAATGCACATGTGTGTACTCAGTATGATCCAGGAACCCTGGAGGTCTAGTGGAATGGTTTGGTAGCATAATGAACAAAAAATTAGGGTTGGTTACCAATTAGGTGGAAGGGTGCAAGCAATTTATATATGTGGAATGTTTTCAACATTATTTACTTTTATTTTTCCAGTATTTATTATATTTAATTTATTTGACTTAAAGATGTAAATATGGTGATTTAACTTTACATATATGACAGTAGCAGATATTTGCCTTTTATTGCCAGGCATGTTAATGTACTAAGGATGATTCAGTAGAAGAATAAGATGTCATCCTGTATCTTCAGTGCTTATAAGCTAGAGCTCCTATGCTTATATCTGACAGCTGTGTGCACATGAGGCAGGAGAACTGCTAAAATGAAAATCTCTCATGGTAAACACCACAGTAGATAGATGAATGGGTAAATCCATTTGATCTGGAGTGATAGGAAAGGACTTGCAAAAGAGGCAGGACCATTATTTTTAAAGGCAAACACAGAGATAAAAATCTAGAAAGTATATCTCAGTTGGTGCACGCGATACAAAGACTCAGAAAATACAATTGACATATTCAACAGGACAGAAATCAGTCCTAACAAACCCAAATCAGGCAATTATCAATATGTAGTTTATGGCTCTCTCTTTCTTCACTCCATGTGTCAGTATCTCAGAAGGCTCAGAGAAGCCCTAACTACCCAAACAGCCCCTGCAGAAAAGAAGAAAATAGACCACCCTGAGGGGTTCTACGAGGGTGGCTACCATATCTAAGCAGAGCATAAAACTCACATCTCCTCAGGTGTATCAATCAGATCTTTCCATTCTCTGCTGATAAACTGAATGAGACTACTGATCACCACCCCTCTGGGCTCACTTTAGTTTCATGAAAGGAGTGGATGAGTATACAGATGACAGTGGATAGTCTGTAGAAAACGATGGGAAAGGCCATGTCAGATAAGGCACTGACAACAGTAACCTGCTCTGCCTTGAAGTTCAATAGCTTTAGTTAACATAAGACCAAACTCTAAGCATTATCCTTGATTACTCTCTTCTCTCACTTTGCCCACTTATTCCCATTTATTCCCAGTCTTTTACTCTGACTACTTGACTTTTCTGCCTGCTTCCACATTTACCCGTCCAATCTGTTGTCTGAAATGCTCCTTCTCTGTTGGTCCTTGGCTGGCTGACTGTCATTCACACCTCAGCTTAAATACCTCCTCTTGTAAGAGCACCTTGCTGACTTTCTAAACTAGTGTAGCCCCCCCAACCAGTGACTCTTAAGGCTATTACTAATGCTCTTCACCAACTGAAAGTTTTCCATTTCATTCATAGTTTTTCTTCTACTAGACCATAAGTTCCACAATAGTGGGGACCTTACCTATTATTTGGAACTCTGCATCCCTGGCATCTAGTTTGACAGGTAACCAGTGCCCAATAAACATTTGCTGAATCCATAACAAAGAGAACACCTTACTAAAATAGTTTTCTATAGAGAAAACCCAGAAGATAAGATGGGTAGCTTAAGTGTGGCCACAGTGTGAATAGCATTGAATATCAAGGTAAAAGGTTTAGCTTTGATCTGTTGTAAATTCAGCAGAGGTTCTGGGGGCTAGAGAAGGCACACAATTTTAGAAAACTTAATCTGCTGGTGGCTAGAATGGGTTTGAATAGGGAAAGACTAAGCAGAAGAGAAGTGAGTAGGAGGCTGTTAAAGCAATACACAGGTGAGAAATGAGGGTTTGGGCTAGAGTAGTAGTAAGGGGAATGGAAATGAGAGGCTGCATGTAAAGACATGGTTCAGGACACAAGAAATCAAAGGGGATGATGGCTTAGCAACAATTTCTAGGTCTCAAGTCCAAAAATCTGCATTTCATGTAGTGTTCCTCTGCTCTACCTTCTGTTCCAGAACTACTGGGCTTCTTTCACTCCTGACCATATCACACCTTCTTTCTCTACCTCAGAAATATCTGCAATCTCTTCCATCCTTCTCTAGCCATCACACACTCAACTTTTTGTCTCCAAGTATTAGCATATCACTTGAAGCTTAGAATATTCACTTGAAGTATTAGCATATTCACAGGAAGCTTATCCTGAACCCCATCTATACTGTATCCAGTCCACTGGTCAGCTCACTGGTCTAGTCCACCACGTATTATTTCCCACAGCACTCATTGCTATAGCAATTATATGTTGAATGCCTGATTTCATTGCCAGACTGTAAGCTCCCTGAGGGCAGGTACCACGCTTGTTCTTTTTTTGGTGGCCACAATGAGTCCTAAAAGAATATCTGGTACACAGGCATCTCAAGAAATGGTTATTTTATTGCACCACTGACTCACTGACTGACTTTATAGGAAAAAGAAAAGGAGATGTGAGTGGCAGTTTTAATGCAAATAGGGTGTATTTGGTTTTCAACATGTTGAATAGACAATGAGATATTTCAGAAGATAACTATGAATGTTTGCAACTAGAACTCTTATTCATAGATTATTATCTGTTCAGTTATATGCATATGACAGGGAAAAAAGGATGGTTGTCTCACATTTAACATGTTAAGAACTGTCAACCAATAATTTATTGTTGCTTTATTATATTCTAATTTACGAAAGCAATTGCTTAGATAATAAAAATGTTTTATGTCATAGAACACTTTTTTGGATAATTATATGTTAGCATATCTACATCAATATTTATGCAAAACTTTCATGAGTAATCTATTTTTGAAAATCATCATTTTGTTTTAAGTTACTGAACAGTTAGCAATGTTGTTGAACTTAATAACCTAGTGCACAAATTATAGCTAAAATTGACAAAGCACAAATGTGTAAAGCATTTCATAAAACAAAATTTTATTATTACAAAATAAATCAGTTTAGAAAACAATTTCCATCTTTTAGCATATATTCCAGTAATAGGACATTAGAGTATAACATTCTTGTCACCCTAGTACATAGAAAGGCTTATCTGATTACTAATGAAAAGATCTCTGGCTGGAAAATATAGTAAAGCATTAGAAGGTGTGGAAACCCTAAAATTAGCAAGCAATTTTATTTTGATAACAGTTATACCTACTGCCATATTAGTTTATCTTGCTAACTCAAGAGTTCCAAACTGGCTATTTATGAACCCAATATAATCCCATAGATGTGTTTTGTTCACCTTGATATTTTTGTAAAATTTCTACTTGACTATCTAGTTCTGTTTTCTAGTTTAGTCCCCACTGTTAGCTTGCCTGGTTTCTACATATTATCAAGCCAAGAAACAGTATCAAGGCTTAAGTGTATCGAAAACACTTTTTATACCCAGTCTGAGAGCAGTTTACCTATAATTGAAGGTCATAACCTCTTAGATTTAATTCTTAAAATATAAAAATACATTAGACTAAATCCAGAACTATCTGAAGTTTTAGCAGTGCTTTAAGATTTAGGAAAAGAATTCCCCATATTTACCTTACTTGATCTAACAAGGGCATGAGGTATGTATTGAACATTGGGCCAAATTTTATTAGCATGATAACACCTCTGGAAATAAGTTAGCCATTTTGGGAAGGTGTATAAACTTTAAAAGCCCACTAAAATATAATTTTGCTCACCCAAAAGCAATAATGTGCAAAGTGTGCTATAGCAATAACTGGCTAAAGTCACTCTGGTGACTGTAGCCAACAAAGGTGCCAAACCTAAACTGTTAAGTTTGAATTGGGGCCCTAAATATCAATCTTATTCACTCCCTACTCTGTGTATCCTACACTGTTCTCAGTGAACCAGCAACCTCATAATTTACAAAGAATAAATTTTTCAGTTTGGAACTGACACCTGTTATTAGCCAGGAACTGGGTCTAGGAGTAAACTCTATGCAAAGAATAAAAATCTCTGTAGAATTGTAATGGTTCTAAGAGTCAAATTGAAATATTCAGTACAAATTTAATTTTGTAAGCACAGGAAGACATGACCTCAACCTTAGGACTTACCACAGAATGTAATGACATGGTTTAGTATGTAGTGAGGGATGTTTTACCATCTATCTAAGATGAATTGGCGTGAGAAGCCTTGTAGAGTGATGAAGTCAATTGCTGATTCTGAGAGCTAGTTTATTTTTTTGTATTGGGGGTTGAACCCAGGGGCACTTTACCACTGAGCTGCATTCCCAGCCCTTTTTACTTTTTATTTGATTACACAGTTCTGCTAAATTGACAAAATAGCCTTAAATATGTAATCCTCCTGCCTCCGCCTCCTAAGAAGCTAAGATTACATGTGTGCACCACCACACCTGACTTCTGATCACGAATCTTATTACCTTATGGTCATACCAAATTATTTTCTAATTATTTCTTGTTTTGTGGGGTCTGTTAGAACTTTTGAGAGTTTCTGAAGTTAGTTTTAAATAACAACATCAGATGTTTCAATTGTTTTTCAATGACATTGGAAAATTTGGGAGGGAGTCACATCACCTTCCAGTAAAACCTGGCATTACCTGGCATTGATTCCTGCATAGACAGAGAAGGACTCTTCTGCCCTTTAGTACTGTTTTTGAGGAAATGGTACTTTTACTTTCCATTTTCTGCTTGTGCTTCTTAAAAATTATCACACCATGACTTTTTCCCATACCACATTCAAATAAAATCTAAGTGGGTCATCACTGAATAAGGTTAAACAAACTAAGGTTTGTTTCCTCTACATATTAATTGCAAATAGAATTGTTTCCACTTCAAATTTTGTTGGTTTAGCTGAAAACTTTTTGTGGTACAATTTTTAAAACAGTTTAAGTTTTGAAAATATAATGATCTTGGCCACTGGAAAAGAATTTGTTTCCCCTGATTGGAATTGATTCTACTTTTTACAAACTACTATACATCACAACTCATCTAGAGCCTGAAAGGCTAGTTGGCTCATGTCCAATTCATGGTTTTGAGAAGTACATATTTCAGAAACAAATAGCACCTCTTGTCTAACAAACTCCAGTTCTTAATTATAAACTACTCCTAAATTGAAACAAGTTTATTTCTTCTCCTTTTTTTATAGCACCCAAATGCCTACTCTAATACATTGCATTAGACAGCTGCCTAACAAATCCTTATTGAATAAACTAGCATAAACTTTACATTCATTTATTCAGATGCATTAATATGAACTCTGGACTTGGAAACATATTAATAAGCTAAATCTCTTTCTAGCTAATGACAAATGGTGAGTGGTTATGTAATAACTACCAATTTTATCAGTATTCTACTCATGTAGTTGGAAAAAGCTTACTTGCAATTTAAAATAATCCATTGGTTTTTAATGTAATTCATTTTGCAAAATAACGAAGTCAGTAATATAAAATTTCATTAAGTCTTTAGCAAATTGCTGGACAATGGTATGTAATTGTGTTTGTCTTATCATGAAGGCGATTAGCATTAGTAGCAGAAAGAGATTAATCATATTCCAGGGCTTCATAGCCTTCCAGCCATTTATAAACCCAATAAATTACTGCTTACAGTCCATATGGCATGTTTTAAAGAGAACTGCTCTACCTGTAAACTGGCTATTATTCTACATATACATTACCATTTCTTAGGAAGGATCTTCGTGACTGTCCTCCATTTAGTGGAGGTAAGATCTTCTTCTCCTGGCTGACAAATGTATCCCACTTCACCTTGTCACAGCCACCTAGTTCCTTCACTTTCTGTAAACAACTTTCCAAATATTCTACTGGGTCTTCTGGCTTAGAACACATCAGTCCATTCAAAAGGCTCTGAAATACAAAAATATACATACCAATAAAATATGTTTTTAAACCACCTTTGATAAAATACTATTATGTCCCATCTGTGAATTATTTGTTTTGTCCTTAATGTTTATTTTTAATTTTAAAAAAGTTGAAATTGAGCAATTAGGATAATCCCTTAAGTTCCTGATGACCAAATGATATCAGCTCAGCATTCTCTGCCTTTTAAATAATTCAGGCAACTACATAGTTTAAAATAGAAAAGTCCTATCAAAGTGAGACAAAATGCAGGATGTAAAAATGCCTGAGGCATTATTTATCTTACTCCTACTCATCTTTTAAATTTCTAAGCCCTAGTATCTTCTGCAAAATGGATGTAATAATATCTACCTCACAGGGATTGTATATATGCAGGGATTGAACTCAGGGGTACTTAAACACTATGCCACATCCCTAGTCTTTTTTTTTTTTTTGATTTTAGAGACAGGGTCTCGCTGAGTTGCTTAGGGCCTTGCTAAATTACTGAGGCTGGCTTTGAACTCGTGATGCTCCTGTCTCAGCCTCCCAAACTGCTGGGATTACAGGTGTATGCCCTGGTGCCCAGAAGGATTGTAAAGAATTTTTCAAATAAAATATTTGTACAGTGCATAGTAAGTTCCTGACCTGTAGTAAACTGCACAAATTTTAGTGGGATTAGATATTACCATCATCATTATTATCAGGAAGTGTTTCCTGAGCCCCTAGGTTGGCCTGTGGTCCCCCTCTTCTGTGTTCCCATGGTACTTGGCATAAAATATCACGCTTGTTATTTATACTGAAAACACTGGTTGCTGTGTTTCTTGTCTCTTCTAAACTACAAGCTTTTAAATGACACAGAGTAGGTTTCATTTTTTTTTTCTTCCAGACCTCTACATCTAACACTTTAACTGGCAGGTAGTGGGTGCATAATAATTTTTTTTTCTGATTAGGAAAAAAAAAATCATTCAACATTTAAGTCTGAGTGTGATTCAAAAAATTGAAGTCTGAGAAAAAAATGATGTTATTTTCTATGCAACAAGCGACCACAATATCTACTGAGATTACACAGAAAGAGAGGGAAACAAGATTTGATGCTATTACTTTTTCTGTTTATGTTGTGTGAGATGCCACATGTATTTAAATGCTACTAGTTTGGAAATGCTGACTCCTTGGAAAATGACTGATATGCAAAACATTTCTTTCAGGTTTCTCATGGAAAAATCAGGTGATTATAGTTACCAATATATGCTATTAATGTACAAAACATACACTCTTGGAAAGGTTAACAGCTTTCCTAAATACAATATTTTACTTTCAAATTGCAAATTTTGCCCATAATGGTGGACAATTCTTACTGGATACATTTGTTTTCTGAAATCCTATGTAGAGTGGGTTAGAGTATGAAACTCCATCGGATGAGTTTAGGTGCTGAAGGAGCAAAAAAATAAGCTAGGTATCTATATCCAGTTTGTGTTGAGATCTTGCTGTATATCCAGATGTGGCAGTTAAGCTTCCTGCACTCTATCCTATACAATGAGCCAGAAACAGACAAATCAATGCAGAAAGACCTCTGTGTCTTTCATGCACTATTTTACCCATTGTAATCTCAGCCCTGTGAGGCACTATTATCCCCATTTTTAAGAGTAGTAAATTGCTGCTCAGAAATGTTAATGACTTACTCAAGTTTACTCAGCTAAAGACTCCTAGGCCCAGGATTCCAACTCAGTTTCTGATTCCAAAACCCATACATTGCTTCTGCGCATCTTGCAAAAATGTCATAAAATACCATATTCTCTATGCACCATTCATAATCCAACTACAATATGAATCACTCAAGATCATGTCTTTTAGTTTTGCCTTTTACTAATGCCTCAAATAAGAGAACACAATCAATTGAAGCTTTTCTGACTGGGAAATGTTCATTTCTAACTTTCCAAACAAAAATGACATAAGGGCATAAATTCTAAAAAGGAGACAATGGGTTCCATTCCTCAGTCATTGAATAGCTAACCACTAATAGGAATTAAAGTTAACCAGTAAACATTATTATTCAGTCTCTGAATTAATATTTTGAGAACTTGAATAATCCAATTTGACTTTCCACAGTATTAAAATTAATTGCCAAAGCTCTGCTCTAAGGTATGAGATCAAAATAGATCACATAAAGTGATAAAAAATTAAGATTTCATGCTGGGCACAGTGGCACACACCTGTTATCCCAGGAGCTTGAAGGCTGAGGAAAAAGGATCGCAAGTTCAAAGCCAGCCTCAGCAAAAGCGAGGTGCTAAGCAACTCAGTGAGACCCTGTCTCTAAATAAAATACAAAATAAGCCTGGGGATATGGCTCAGTGAGTTGAGTGCCCCTGCGTTTAATCCTGGGTAACCCAGCCCCCCCCCAAAAAAAAAATATGATGAAATCGTGAGAAAGTAATTTTTTGAAAAAAAAATTAATCTAAAGATAGAAATGTATTTCATATATGAACCTACCAGAGATACACCATATCTCATTTAGCCTAAGTGATGTGTCACATCTGGAAAAATTCTGAAAAAGTCAATTATATCTAATTGTTTGGTAATATGTAAATTCAACACTCACTTGGCCTATAATGGTGTCTGATGTCCACATTTCAGGGTTTGATAGATACCTAATTGTTAAACTTCACATACCTAGAATATTGTGGTTTTGATGAAGAAAATCCAGTTTAGAAACCTAAAGTATTTGGTTTTGCTGTCTACAGTCATCACATGGAGAACTGCCAGATTTTGCTATTCTCTTGTACTGTGCACAGCACAGATGCATTTTACTGGAAGGATGGAGCCTTTGAGGTCACCATCAGTCTCCTTCCATCTTCCTATTGTCCAGGATTGATTCTAAGTACACTGTATTACTGCATTTCACCTAAGCAAGTGGTCTTCTTTTTCTGGTCTCATTACTTAAAATTGTTCCATTCATAGTCAGAAAAGTCAATGAAAAGCCTCAAACCTGAACAAGGAACACCAGCAATCACTTATTTTCATATGCAGCATAGATTTTCATGAACTAACTACCCAGATTCTCTGAAGTTGCCTTTCATCAAGGAAGAAAAACAGTACCCACATTCATAAAGAAAAATGACTACTATTTAGCAGTATTTTGCAATCAGGTGGCTCTCCTACATATTACTTTTTAAGAAGTGTAGAAATAAAATTGATCTCAGTAGTAACATCTGCAATTTTTAAAATCCATCAGCTTTTCATCTCCATATTTATCGTTTGAAAATTAACAGCAACAACAACAACAAAACTCTTACAATTCCCAAACATTCTTAAGACCTATCCTTATGCAACACCACCTGATTACTTTCATACAGGAATAACACACTTGCTAGATTTGGGCTTCATATGCCAGGCTTGAACTCAGATTTACCTGTAAATCTTGACTTTGACCTGAAAACAGTGACTTACAGAGGTGAGAGAAAAGGAAGATATGTAATTATGGCAGCCCATTTTAAAGATAGTTGGGGAAATTGGGGCAAAATTATTTTCCCCAGTAGTATTTTAAATTCCTCTTAACCGAACAAATCCGCCAACCAGGAAAAATACAAACTCATGACTTTTAGTTCATCAGTCTATCATTTTGGTTTTAGAATTGGGAGGCCAGGTTTGCAGTGAATGAATTTCCTCTTTCAATGCTCTGCCTACAGAGAAGCTTGGCTCTGTTCCATTCTTTTTTGTTTTCTTTTTTAATGTAAGCAAAAGCATTTAGGATTTAGCAATTTTTTTAAAAAAATTCAAATATGGAGAGAAGAATAGAAAAACCCCAGACGGAGGCTGTGGCTTAGAACTAACCAAGGTTCCTTTAGCTCATTTCTCAAACCTCTTCTCTCACATTCTCAAAGTCCCTCCACCTGCCAGGTCCCTGGTGCAGATGATGCTGTGATGCGGTCTGAGGACAGCAACAGGAGTCACGCCCGTCTCGCCGCTCCCTTCCCGACCCGCTATCTCTAGGTGGGTTGGCCAGCGATGGGGAAAAGCTGCAGCTTCTGGGGCAAGCGAGGGGAACCATTCCTTCCAAGGCAAAGGCAAAACGTGCTCAGGAGTTCATTCACTGAAAGCGCACAGCACCTTTGGGTGCCTGCCACCCGGGAGGTAGTGCTGCACTTGATGGGCTGGGATTCGTTTTTTGCATCTTCATCCCTCTCCTCCAAGCTGTACCTAGGGAGAGCTGCTTCCGCCCATCTTTCCCCTCTCTCCAGGGGTCCGGACCCTTAGCATGTAGAGGGACTAGGGCTTTGGACCTCTCTGTTTCTTGTCCTTGTCTCTCGCTGGGCGACAATTTACTCACCTGGCCTGACTGCTTCTCGCCCTCAGAGAGTGCGGCCAGGCCGCTTTCTGCAACCCACCCTGGGTGTCCACATCGAGGGGCGCTCAGGGGGCAGCTGCTTTTCAGAACCCTGTCTGGAGACGGAAACTTGATCGGTGACAGGCGGGCTTCTAAGCCCAGCCGCCCGATAGCGACCTCGGCAAACCACGGGAAAGGGGACTACCCTCGGGCGAGTGAGCCTCAGCAGGCGCCTTCACTTCCGTGCCCCGCACGGGGAAGATGTATCAGGGCACAAGTACCTTACCCTGAACCGCCGGCTATTCTCTCTCCAGCTCCTCCTACCCCTCTGTTGGCTCTATCCTCTTACCTCGAAAAGCTGAGGGATTTCCCTCCGGGCCAGATACTCCTTGGCTTCGTTGGTGTTCATGGTTGTACCACGCGTGCCTTGGGGCGCAGGCGGGGAGGTTCCTTGGCTGCGGTCACTTGGGCTGGGGCTGAGGCTGGGACTGGCGGGGTCCGCGCGCACGAGTGCAGCCCTAGATCTGGAGCGCACTCTCACACTCTCTGCCAGACCAGGGCCCTGTTCCACCTATCCCCCCGAGGGCTGTGGTCTCCGCGCTCCCGTCTCCCGGTTTGGATGCTGGTCCCCGCTCCCGAGCTGCGGGCTCTGAGCAGCGGCAAGGCGGCTTCCCGGGTTCCCAGGCAGCGCGACTGCCAGGGGAGGGGCGGAGGGAGAGGAGGAGGGAGGACAGCGCGGCGGACGCCAGGCAGCAGCCCGCCCGCCCGCCTCCCTGCTCTGCGCGCTGCGCTCCGCGCCTCCCGGAGCAGGGTCTGCGGCGGCGGCCAGTCACGCTGCGCTGGCAGGCACAGAATGCGGGGGTGGGGACCGGCGCTCGCAGGGAACTCGCAGGCACACCCCTCCGTGCTGCACAGCCGCCAGAGCGCGGCTCTTCCCTGAGCATGCCGCCCCGAGGCCGCAGCCACCCCGGGACCAGGTGTCCAAGGGAACAGGGTCGGGGTCACTTGGAACTCTAGACCTTTTTGCTTTTCCAGACCTTCCCAGACGTGCGCGCGCGCACACACAACACACACACACACACCCCAGTTACCCTGAGTCCCCTAGGATCTTGGGGGGGGGGGGGGCACCTAATAGTCACAGAATTTTATCATTTATTCTTAAGGTTATTGGTTTTTCAGTCATGAGAGATAGGGGGTAGGAGAAAAGGGAATTCATGGTTCAGAATCCTCCCTCTTAAAATAATTCTATTATTTCGGGTGTTGTTACCCTTCAAGAAAGTTTTGCTAGCTGGTTTCGATTTTTTTTTTCTGCCTGTGTCACAAATTCTTGCTCATTTCAGTATAAGGCCTTAGTGTTAGCCTGAAATCTTCATTAATAGAAGGATTAGTAAGTACAATTAATTATTTCCACCTAGAAGAATGGGAAGATGGAGCAGAATAGGGGTGGCAGTGGTAGAGTGCTGGATTCCCCTTGAATTGGAAAGGGCTTAGTAGGTGGAGTGGGTGTGCATCATTAATTAGATCTGAGGAGTGTGCAGTCGGTGGCCTATGGGTTATTAGACGCCCCCTCCTTGATGGGAAGTATGAAGAAATATAGGTGGGTGCCTAAGGCATAATGGGTAATAGATCCTCTTCCTGTTGCAGACCATTGTTAAGGTGTACCCATCCTCCTGCTTGCTCCCAAGATGACTCATTTCTCCATTAAGATATCTTTTCATTGCCTGTTGGAGAAATGGTCCATGCCCTCTGGGAATATGATTTCTGAATGCAAGGCCTGACTCTGTGGGAGGCTGTGTGAGAGATAGGATGCTCTGATGGGTGCTGGCATCTGGGACCTGGGTGAAAGAGAAAACAACACTCCAACTGCTTCAAAATAGGTGGTCCTGGCCTGTAATCCCAGCTGCTGGGGAGGCTGAGGTAGGAGGATCACAAGTTTAAGTCCAGCCTAAGCAATTTAGAGAGACCCTGTCTTAAAAATTAAACATTAAAAAAGGACTGGGAAGGGCTGAGGTTGTGCCTTAGTAGTAGAGTGCTCGCCTAGCATGCCCAAGGCGCTTGGTTCCATTCTCAGCACCACATAAAAATAAAAATAAAGGTATTGTGTTCAACTACAACTAAAAAAAATTTTTTTTTTTTAAATGACTGGGAATGTAGCACAGTGGTAAAGTGCCTTTGGGTTAGGTCCCTAGTACCGCCCCCCACCACCACCACACACACAAAAAAGACTGTTTCAAGTTCATCTTTGCGGAACTTTTTGTTGTTGTTGTTCTATGTCTTGTCACATAAGCAACTTCTAATCAAGCTTGACTATAGCTGAAACTTTGTTTTACCCAAGAAAGGGAACTCAAAAATTAATTAGTTGAGTTTTATAAGGTAAATGAAGTTTTGAGGACACTTGTGAAACCATGTGTCAACGTTGTGTCATGTGGTAGACTTAAATGAGGCACGTATTTCAATTCATGGAAATTGGTGTCTGCTCGTAGAATGTGCCACATCACTTACAGCCCCAGGTTTCACTTTTCTCCCTTACTTAAGACTAAGCTACAGAAGGAGTGGGAGCTGTCTCTTCACTTTGACACAGTACTTAAAAAGTTCCAGGGTCCATGGTATGAAGGCCTACTTTGTGAGCAGACACAGTAGAAGTGAAGCACACAGGACTGAAGAAACCCCTTCTTGTAGGGGTCTTCAAGGCCATCCTTTCCAGACAAAAATATGGCAGAGCACATTTCACATCTCTCTCTCCTGGTTCTTTGAATGGATGCACAATTCTAAGTGTCTTTTATTATAGCTAGGTAAGTAATGGGGTGTGGTGGGGCATGCCTGTAATCCCAGCCTTTTGGCTAAGGCAGGAGGATTGAGAGTTCAAAACCAGCCTCAACAATTTAGTGAGGTCCTAAGCAACTCAGTAAGACCTTGTCTCTAAATAAAACATTAAAAAGGCTGAGGATGTGGCTCAGTAGTAAAGCGCCTATGAGTTCAATCCCCTGTACCAAAACAAAATTGTTGCACTACAAATTGTAGATAGCCTGAAAAATGTAGCAGATGGAGATGTAGCAAAAACATTTGTGTAGCATTAGGCACTGACAGTGCTTTTTGGTGTGTCTCAGGGTGGAGAGAGATGAGCAAAAAAGGTAAGATGTTCATAAGTACTTCCACAAAGTGAATGTGTTCCCTCAGAGGGATATACAGGGCTTAAAAGCCAGGCTGAGGGTTTGGAAGAGAGGGAAGGAAAGGGTCAAGGAACACTAAATAGGTTCTTGTCATGAGAAAGCTAATATGTCATTCCCTGTGCTGAATATACTGCATATAGATAAAAATATAAATGGGTCATGACTGAATAAGGTTACACAAACTAAGATTGATTTACATTTATTACAATTACAGTTGTCTCCATTTCAAATTCTGTTCAAATAGCTGAAACTTTGATTTTGAGCACATTTGAGTTTTAAAACATAAAAAAGATCTTGTCCACTAAAGAAGCCTTATTTAAAATGTCTCTTCTGGTCGCCCTTTGGGAAAGTGTGCTGGGTTTTAAGATCTGACTGTGACTAAGGCAGACATGATAGCTGCCTTCAAGGAACTTTAGTTCTGCTGGAGAGTATGTAAGAAGAGTACTTAGGTGCTGGGCTGTCGCTCAGCTTACCTGGCATGCTTGAGGCCCTGGATTTCATCCCTAGCTGCAGGGGTCGGGGGGAGGAGAAAAAAAAGTAGAAGTGCAAGTGAACAATAATAAATAAAAATGCATAAACAACATCAACATCAGAGAGTGATAAACAAGTAGCAGAAAAACAAAAATATAAAGAAAAAGACATAAACAAGAATATATCATTAAATATGACACATGCATATGTGAATATATCATTAAATATGACACATTAAATATGAAAATCAAAATGAACTTTGTCAGTTTGGAATCAGGGTCTGAGGATCTAGATCTATTCTGTGGAAATGGCAGAGGAAATAAAAGTGGCCATGGGAAAGATGAGTAGGACTTCCAAAGGGCTGGACATCCTTGAGGAGGAGACTTTGGGTAGAAATGTTTCCCTGAGCCATCCCTAGAAAGTCTCACTGCTGACACACAGGTTGCTGACACACATCTCAGCCTGCTCTACTCTATTATTCAAGTGTCTGTAAGGAGGAACCATTTATGCATGTACACAAAGAAGGCCTGAGGACTCTGTACCCAGGCCAGTGCTCCTTCAACCCTCCAGGAGAGTTGGAGCCTAAAGCTCATACCCTCATCTACTCCTAACAGATATTTATGCCATCTATAATCTAACTGTGGCAATTTTGACAAAAAATGCAAACTATTTCTCATGTTGCAGTCCCTTGCCCCCACATGGGAGCCTAAGGAGATCAATCATAAGTACCAGTCTGGGGCTGGAGTTGCGGCTGAGCGGTAGAGTGCTTGCCTAGCATGTGTGAGGCCCTGGGTTCGATCCTCAGTACCACACGAAAATAGGTAAATAAAATAAAGGTATTATGTACAACTAAAAAATAAATATTTAAAAAAAATAAGTACCAGTCTGATTGATAGTAATGATGCCATGATAAATTGGGCTGTAACACACAATAAAAACTTGCTATAAATCAGGAATTGTCCTAAGAATTATACATAAGGTATAGTTTATTACAAATTTATGCATGTGTCATATTTAAAACAATCTGTAGTGGATGTATGATTCCTTTCATGTAAAAGAAGTAACCAAGATTCCCAGAACCTAATTTCAAGGTTATTCTCAATAAGTGTCAGTGCAACTGCCATTTAAGCCCCATATGTCCTTATCGCTTAAAGCATCATCATCATAATACCTATCATCAAGTTTTCTTTGGACCTTTCACCGTTTTCTAAGGGTCATTTCATCCTTCTTTCCCAATTTCCTTCCTTCCTTTCTGTTTTTTCAGCAGATGTTATTTTTATATTTGGAGAAAAATGTGTTACCCAAAACAATTGTGGTGACAAATTTATCTCAGTGGATTTTTCAATTGCTCAAAGTCCTTTTATGTTTGAAAATCCTTGGTGTAAGAGGTTGTACAGGCAAGACACCATTCCTAATTATTATACTTGTGAGTGTTGAATTTCTCTCATGTAGCACAGAAAACAGTTATCTCTTTCCTGATTATTCTATTTCCTTTATTAAGTTTTAATGCACCGGACCATTTGTGTCTGTGAGAAATTTGAAAACATTTTTGCATAGAAAAATACTAATTACAAGTGTTCTTTTTAGGAGTCTTTCAGAAGGCTTTTACTTTTCTTAGTAAATATAGAATGTACAGGCTAGCCTGTGAAATTTAGGGTAAACACTGGCTAGAATAATGTTGTGTAACACAAATCTTCAATCAGAGGGAGAGTTCCCTATGTTCTATTTTTTTTTTTTCACCCTGCACTGAACAGACACGAGATTCTAGGTCCAAAAGATCACTAGGATTTCTTGGGTTAGAGTTTAGGAGATTGAAAACTCTTTTATAATGTCTTAAAAGATTAGAATTTTTTAACATAATTTTTTCTGATACAAAAAAATAGCTATAATGTGGAAAGTCCTACATCACCTATCTATTCAATAATTAAGCATTCTCCAAACATTTATGAAATAACCTTCTATATTCCAAATCTGTTTGGAACTAGAAGTACAAAGACAAAGACTAAAGGGTTCCCTGTTCAAGAGGAAGAGATGAACTTACTTAATTAAGTATAGATGAATGTTTTGTTTCAATATATGAAAGAAGCAGATTTGTGAAA